CCACCACCACCACCGACCTGCCGCAGGCTGATCTTGGCCGGGTAGACGATGTCGGAGCCGTCGCGGCGGAAGACGTCGTGCGGCTTGTCCTTCAGCACGAACACCACGTCGGCCGGGATGTTGGTGGCCGTCTGGTCGCCCTCTTTGGGGAAGGTGATCTTGGTGCCCTCCTTCCACCCTCGCTTCACCTCGATGGTCAAGATCTTGTCCTCGTTCCTCACCGTCTTCCCGTCGGGGCCCAGGCGCTTGTGGGAGATCTTCATCTTCTTGGTGCAACCGCTGTAGATCTCCTCCAAGGAGACGCGCAGCTCGTAGAGCACCGGCGGGTCCTGCCGGCGACCCTCGGCGCCCCGGGCCCGCGGGAAGCTGACGCTGCCGAAGCCGCCCAGGTGGAAGGTGCTGAAGGCCTCGTCTCCATCCTCGTCGTCGCCGTTGCGTTGCGCGAAGAAGGTGTCGAAGGGGTTGCGCCCGTCGAAGAACTCGGCGAACATGGCGTGCGGGTCGCCGCGGAAGGTGTAGGTGAACGTTGGACCGGTGCCGCCACCCGGTCCGGGGGTCGGGGCTCCCCCTTTCAGCCCTGAAGGTTTTTGGGGGGGTGATGGGTTGGAGGGTGGTGAGGGATGGGTGAAGGCACCCCAGGCACCCATCAGACCCCACCCCGGGGTGAGCCGCGGGCAGGGCGTGGGGAGGACGAGGGCGTGGGGGAACCGGTTCTGCCCGCGCCGCCGACGCCGCTGACGGGTCCCGGACGGGCTCCGACAGGCCCGGCCGGCTCCCCCCGGCACGCCCCGGCGCCCCGGCGGCCACCCCCGGGCGGCTGGCCCGGCGCCGGGGCCGCCACGCGGGACACCGAGCCTGGAGACCCCCGGGACACCGAGACCGGAGACCCCGGGACACCGAGCCCGGAGACCCCCGGGACACCGAGCCCGGAGACCCCCGGGACACCGAGACCGGAGACCCGGGGACACCGAGCCCAGAGACAACGGGGGATACCCTGAGCCCGGAGACCCCGGGGGATACCGAGCCCGGAGACCCCAGGGGATACCAAGCCTGGAGATCCCGGGGACACCGAGCCCGGAGACCCCCGGGGATACCGAGCCCGGAGACCCCCGGGACACCGAGCCCGGAGACCCGGGGACACCGAGCCTGGAGACCCGGGGACACCGAGCCTGGAGACCCGGGGACACCGAGCCTGGAGACCCCCGGGACACCGAGCCCGGAGATCCCGGGGACACCGAGCCCGGAGACCCCCGGGACACCGAGCACAGAGACCCCCGGGACACCGAGCCCGGAGACCCCGGGGGATACCCTGAGCCCGGAGACCCCCGGGGATACCCTGAGCCCGGAGACCCCGGGGGATACCGGCCCTGGAGTCCCCCCCGTGGGATACCGAGCCCGGAGACCCGGGGGACACCGAGCCCGGAGACCCCGGGGGATACCCTGAACCCGGAGACCCCCGGGACACCGAGCCCGGAGACCCTCCCATGGGATACCGAGCCCGGAGACCCCGGGACACCGAGCCCAAAGACCCCGGGGGATACCGGCCCTGGAGCCCCACCCGGGGGATACCGAGCCTGGAGACCCCCGGGGGATACCGGCCCTGGAGTCCCCCCCGTGGGATACCCTGAGCCTGGAGACCCCGGGGGACACTGAGCCCGGAGACCCCGGGGACACCGAGCCCGGAGACCCCCGGGACACCGAGCCCAAAGACCCCGGGGGATACCCTGAGCCTGGAGACCCCGGGGACACCGAGCCCGGAGACCCCGGGGACACCGAGCCCAAAGACCCCGGGGGATACCCTGAGCCTGGAGACCCCGGGGACACCGAGCCCGGAGACCCCCGTGGGATACCGAGCCCAGAGCCCCCCGCCCGCCCGGTGCGTGTCACACCTTCCCTGGCACTGCCCGTGCCCCCCGACCCGGCCCTGGCACCTGGCCCTGGCACCCGTCCCCTCACCTGTCCCCCTTACCTGTCCTTGTCACCTGTCCTTGTCACCTGTCCTTGTCACCCGTCCCCCTCACCTGTCCCCATCACCTGTCCCTTTCCAACCCCCCAAATCCCCTCCCATGTCCCCAAGCCCCCCGACCCGAACCCCCGCCGACCCTCTGACCCCCC